AGATCGTTCATGTGAAGGTCTTCCATATGGTCCTTGTCCATATGGTCTTCCTCTAACATATCCATCACCATGAGATTCTTGAGCAAATGTTGCTCCAAGAATTGCAATGAGTACAAGACTTGCAAATACCTTCATTATGAAAGAGATTCTGTTCCTTTCTGTAGGTGACTCTTTGTTCACCTTCCTTGCCTTTTATATGCCTTTCTCTTTGAATTATGTTTTCAATATTTGGTCTTCCATTAAAATAGGGTATTCACAAAGTTTACTGCACCCACTTGTGACAGCCATGACATTGCTAAAATAGTTAATAGAAAGTGAAGTTTGTGTAGACTGTGGCATTACTATAGGCTAGTCAAAATTCCTTTAAAGCCTAGATTAGATATGTCTAGCTTATGTTTAGTGTTAGTTCCATTTATAAATTGATGTATGAATCAATTAATGACACATATACAGTGAATAGAGAGTCTGCTTTTGATGAGACAAAACATTCTTTGAATTCTTATTGACTGTTTTTAGTATGAAGTTTCTCTTTTCCCTGTCTGTTATGCATAAACCAAGTTCTGTCAACATGTTTGAGTAGCCAAAAGTTATACAGTTTTAAAATTCAAATGCAGCCACAACAGAAATACATTATTTCCTACATCTGCTTATTTAGACTTTGACTTTGTGAATCAAGCAATCTTGGATCTTGTTAGTGGACTGTCAAGTAAAGTTTGAGGTTAAATTCTACATTTTAATGATTTTTTCTGATACATATATCTACATCTCCTTATGTTTTACATCAACTTTGAGCTGATTCCAATCAAATTTGGTTTTTAAAAGTTACTTGAAAGTTGAGTGAAAGTCCCTGTACTATAAGTACAGGATATTTTATGAAAAACGGCTAGGAGAGAATTTTTAATATTTATAATTTTCCTAATGGATATACATGTTCCTATGTTGTGTAGAAAGTTTGAGCTGATTCCAATTACATTTTTTACAAATTATTAAAGTTGCTCCAAAATGTTTGCCAAAAATTAAAAGGAGAGAATTCTTCATTTTTATAATTATTCTGATGCATATACATGGTCTTATGTTGTGCACAAAGTTTGAGCCAATTCTGATTGCATTTGAATTTTTTTACAAATTTTAAAAGTTGTAGATGGCCATAAACTACTAGCTGTTATACTAGTGTAGTGATAATTAATTAATTTAATGTGAATCAATTATTTAATATAATTTAATTAGCAAAAATTGTCCATAAATAATTGACAATCAATGTGCCATTGGTTTCAAAAGTTAATATTCATGCTCCTTGTATGAGCCACCATATCCTCCTCCATAGTATCCTCCATAATGATCATCTTTCTTGCACTGAGCAGGAGATCCGCTCCATTGACCATTGTGAAGACATACTCTGCGGCTCTTGCCACTCAAACTATATCCATAACCACAGCTGTAGACAGCATAATCACCAGGATATTGACCAGAGGTGTAAATTCTGCCATACTGTGGAGGTTTAAGTTTAGGACACTGGATTTCTAAAAGTATACTAATAAATGATTTTTATGCATAGAGTTTTTTACTTTGACAGCCTGTCTTTTCTCCTGACCATGTTCCATCACATTGACAAGTACGTACTTCACTACCAGTAAGTTTAAATCCTTTCTTACATCTAAAGGTAGCAGTTGAAGTGAAATAAGTTCCTGGATAGAAAGTTACTCCACCATTTTTAGGTGCTGGAAGAACACCACAGTCAACAGCTAAAAAAAGATTTTTTTTAGTTAAAAAGAGTGTAGATATAAGAACATACGTTTGCAGACAGGAGCTGGGTTGGAGTATAGGCCATTTGCTTGACAAACGGACACAGATTTACCAACAATATTAAAACACTTATTACATCTGTAGACAACTCTGCTCCCAAGAGTGGTAGTAGTGAAATGTATTGAACCATTGGGATCTG